GGCACCCACTTCCATAATAGCTTGCCTCCGGAAACCCTATGAACCTGGAGAGAGGATGAAAGGCACCCAAGCGTTGAGGACTCTCCTTCATAGGGTCGCTATGATTCGCCTGGGACTTGATGGCACTTAACAACAACAGTAGATATTAGTAGTTTGTTCATTTCTAAAATGTGGACTTTCCCGGTGTAGTAACTGAAATCCATTCATTGTATGGCTATGTCACAATTTATCCATTCTATTGTTGATTGGACTGTTTCCAGTTTGAGGATATTATGAATAATGATAATATGAACACTGTGTCACATGTCCTTTTAAAGTAAAAGAAGAGTTTGTGAAGAGATACTTCAAAACAAAACACAACACACTAAGATAGATTAGTGACATGATTCAACAATGTGCTTACGGAAAGTGGAGACTGTGTGGACGGCACAGGATCAGGCGAGGTTTTAGATCTGTTCTTCATAGGGTTACTCTAAATCAGGATCAGCCCGATGGTAGTTAACACCACCACCACCACAGTGAGCTATTTCATCGTTGCGTTGATTCCCTTCTGTCTAGTGACTAATGATTGTGAGCATTTCTTCATGTGTTTGTTAGTTACCCACATGTTGTCTTTGGTTAAGCATCTTTCATGCTCTTTGCCCATTTCTGAATGGAGGGGTTTTTCTGTCATTTTGTTATTTAGATGTTGAAATTTTCTATAAAAGAAATTATTCTTTTGTAGAGAGGAGATATTCAAATGTCAAGTTCTTCCCAGCTTTTCATTTTCTTTTTGTTCAGGAAAAGTTCTTTAAGGAGAGTATATGTTTAATTTGTAGACATCCACTTATCTAGCAGATCTTCTGCTGTTTATTCCTTACCAGTTCTGTTCGGTATCCTATTTGTGTCATATACTAATGGGATCTTGCCACTGTCCCTATTTTTCCTTCCATAATCTTTACACCTGCAGGTTTTATGTTTATGTCCTTGATTCATTTTTAGTTAGTTTTGATGCATGGTACAGGTTGCAGAGAGATTCTAAAGGCTCTCATTCCATATTTTACCTAGGGAATTCTCTGTATCTTCAGAAATATTCTCTCAACAACTACCTTGCCAAAATATTTGGTCAGGGTCAGCAATGCTAGCTTGAGCAAATAGGTTAATTAGCAACTTTTTTTTTCTCGTTGTGTGCCCTGGAATCAGATCTGATTGGCACAGGAGGAGATTGCACCTCCTTTTCCAGCAGAGCATCTGGTGGATTCGAATTG